GGCGTTGGCAAATTTGCCTTCCTCGCGCAGGTCCTGGGGAGCTGTACTTCTTGCCTCTTCCAGCTTCTAGGGACCTCCTCCGTTCTTTGGCTCACAGCCCCTTCTTTCATCTTCAAATCTCCCTCTCTCTGATCTCTGTTTCCATCATCACATCTCCTTTTGTAACTCTGACCCTCCTGTCTCCTGTGATTGCGTTGGGCCCTTCTGGATCATCAGGATAATCTCCCCATCTCAAGATCCTTAACTGAATCACATTTGCAAAGTCCTTTTGCCATTTCAGATAACATATTCTCAAGTCCTGGAGATTAGAATGTTGACATCTTTGGGATGGCCACTGTTCTGCCTTCCACAGGCCCCATGACACCTGCAGTCTTTGCCAAAGGGAGGGAGTGAAGGAGAGGCTTCTGTGATCCCCTAAGACTGAAGTCTGAGGGCCAGGGCTGGGTGGGGCTGAGAGCACCTTCTCCACTGGGAGCCCACTCCCTCCACAGTGGGCAAGCAAGCTGCAGGGTGGCGGCGAGGACTCTGCATCTCTCTGCCAGTTCTGCAGCTTCCATGGGCAGGAGACGTTGAGCCCACCTCTCCCACTTGTCAGCTGAGAGGCCTTGGGCGCTGGACAGGGCTCTAGATTGCTGGATTCCGAGTTTCCCTCCTCCTGCCTCATTCTTTGTGTCTCTCCTGTCATGTGTCATGGTGATGTTTAGTTCTTCAGACTGGGTAGATTAAGTAACCAACCTCTGAATTCAGCATCTTCTTGAACTCTTGTCATCTTTTTTTTTTTTTTTTTTTTTAAAGACAAAGTCTCACTCTGTTGTCTGGGCTGCAGTGCTGTGGCCTCAGCCTAGCTCACAGCAACCTAAACTCCTGGGCTCAAGCAATCCTCCTGCCTCAGCCTCCCCAGTAGCTAGGACTATAGGCGCACACCACCATGCCCTGCTAATTTTTCTATTTTTAGTAGAAATGGGGTCTCACTCTCGCTCAGGCTGGTCTCGAACTCGTGACCTCAGCGATCTTCCTGTCTTGGCCTCCCAGAGCTCTTGCCTTCATAGACTTTTCCTCTTATTTTTCACCCAGGCAGCAAAAGAGAGGGGAGAAAATGCCCAAGAAATGCAGATAAGCCTGGGATTCCAGGGGGAGCCTCTAGAGAAGCAGTGACCACTCCCACAGCTGGATTAAAATGGACAGGAGCCAGAGTCCTATGCCTTTTTATTTTGTCCAGCTGGGCCAAAATTGTAACATTCTCCATGTTGCTAGGGTCTCTTCCGCCTAAAGGAAGCATCTCTGACTGCCCCCCAGGCTGAGTTAGGGGCTCCTTGTGGACGCTAGCTTCCGTAAATAGCGCTGCCGTCGCCACGTTGTTTTGTGGTCGTCTCTTAGTTCACCCATCGCCCCCATTACACTGTCAACTTACTGAGGGCAGGGACTTGTGTCTTATGTGTAACCTCCCCACCTGCCAGAGTGCCTAGCCCATGTAGGCCCTGTGCAGATGATGGATAGACAGATGGATGGAACCTGCTCACATTTCAAACTGCAGTGGCCACTGGTCCCCATCTATGTGTGGCTTACCTGAGGTCACTGTTTATCAGGCACACAGAATCCAGGGTCTAGCTGAGAAGAGAGAGAGAACATAGTCTTGAGCAACCGAAAGGAGTGCCAGGTAGCAGACAGGAAGCAGCAAGACTTCTGAGTGGGCCCTTCACTCACTGACCTTTCCTCTCTGGATGGAGGCTCTGGTTTCAGCCTGCTGTGAGGGAAGCTGTCCTGTGGTACCAGGAGCCTGAAAGTGTCCTCTTTCCCTTCAGTCACATGCTGTGATCCCCCAGCTGCAGGGTGAAAGGTCAGACCTGGGGCCTGCAGCCATTATTTCAGGAAGACAAGGTGTCACAGGCAGCCTGCCTGTCCCCACCTCATTCTCGGAATTTCTCTTTTTATTTCGGAAAGATCTGTGAAGGTGAAAGGTTAAATATTAGTCATGGCTGGGTTCTTGGGAAGTTGTGGAGATGAGGTGAGGCAGGACGGAAGACACCCACAGAGAGATTATTTGACAAAGCATCCCTTCCCTCCAAACATCTCTCCTCACCCCCAGGAGCCCTGTGGAGCTGACAGTTTGCAGGAGTGAGTCTTTGTTTGCCTCCACAAGGTCATCAAATAAAGAGATGATTTTATGTTTTCTATCCCAGCAACCGGGGAGGTGGCCACCTTCCCCCTCCTGCTTGGGGGAGGAGGAATTTCTCTGAGTTGTCCTACTCTGCCCTTATTTTTCTTAAGCACTTTCCATCACCACCCTGCCTGCCCTCTCTGCCCAAGTTCCTTATTCTGTAATCCTTACCTATCCCTGAGGCTCATGGGTTTTGTTTACTCATCATCCTTCCTATTATAAGTCAGTCTCCTTTATCCCTTAGTCATTATTGCTATGTCTGCCTGAATTCCCGGGTATGGGGGCCCAGCCTCTACCCCGCATATCTCAGGGCCCTGGGGAAAGGCTGAGATCACAGACCCAGTTGTTGAGAATGATTTGGGTTGGATTGTCACCAGGCACATGATCCTGAAATCCTTATTAAATTGAGTAAGATAAACCAAGTGTGTATTTATCAGGATGTCTCCATCCATCTGGAACATTAAAGTATTTACAAAATGTTCTCCCTGTTCGGGCACTTAAAATCCTTCCTCTGACAACATGTTTTGCTTCTCCTTATATGACACCATCTTGGATAACAGCTCCTCCACCAGGAGTCAAGAGTTTCTACTCCTGAAGTCAAGCCTCCTGTTGCTCTTTTGGTTCTGTGAAACCAACTGGGAATGTGTCTCCTTTTGATGAGATTCCTAGGGAGCAGGGAAGATGGTGTGCATTGTGGACTGTGTAGACTGAGGTGATATTAGAAAACTCGTGAATTGTGGCATTTTAAAATTCGTTTATTGAATATTCATTGAGCACCTAATATTTGCAGACAGCAATGATATGCCCTGGGATTAAAAACATGAAAAAATCACAGTCCCTGCCCTCCTAGTCTACAAGGAGAGGGGAAAAAAGACACAGACTATTTTAATACAAAGAAATAAGTGTGAAAATTGGATATAAACAAAGTGGTCTGGGATCGTTCTAGGGAAGAGGAACAAATTTTGTTCCTTGTCTATGAAACACAGCTAATATGTCTTCCCTTGCTGGAGTGTTGTTAGGAATAAATAAAATTATAAATTATAAAGACTCACAGAACAGGTGACATTTGAGCTGGATCTTGAAAGATGAGAAGGAGTTGGCCAGGTGGAGATGGTGCGGGAAGGAAGGTGGGGAAGGTTACAGATGGATAATGTCAGGACCTCCCTATCCTGCCAAAGTGTTCTCAGAATTGAGTACGGTTGGGAAATACTTGGAAAGTAAAAGCACAGTTTAAGGACAAAATATTGATAAAACTTGATCAGCCAATCAAGTGAAGTCAGAGCCCTGGTTAGAGGCTTGAGGAAATAGAAATAGTGTCATGCTTTTTACAGGTGTGATGTGTACCTTTTGAGGACTAGACGGTGTCCTGTTGGCTGTTTCAGGAGAAGAAGCAAGAGGATTTTTTTCCCCTTTTATTCATTCATTCTTTATTTATTTATTTTATTTTATTTTATTTTATTTTTTTGAGACAAGATCTTGCTCTGTCACCCAGGCTAGAGTGCAGAGTGGCATGATCAGAGCTCACTGCAGCCTCAAACTCCTGGGCTCCTCCTGCCTCAGCCTCCTGAGTAGCTTCCCCTTTATTCTTAAGTGTTGGGATCTCTGTAGGAACCCTGTTACTCCTGGGTGAGGAGGCAGAGCTAACCAACCCAACAAACATGATATGTAGATGGAAGGCAAATGAGCATATGAAAACTTGCTCAACATCATTAGCCATTAGGGAAATGCAAATCAAAACCACAGTGAAATACTACTACATGCCTATTAGAATCGCCAGATTTTTCTTTCTTTCTCTTTTTTTTTTTCTGAAACTGACAATACCAAATGTGTACAAATGTACACAGCAATAGGAACTCTAACATAACTGGTGGGGAGGTAAAATTATATAGCCACTTTGGAAAAAACAGTTTGGCAGAAAGTTATACATATAATAACTATATGACCCAGAATCCCATTTCTGGGTATTTAGTCAGGAGAAATGGAAAACCCACTCAAAGACTGCTACAATCCATGAAAAGACTTCTACACAAGTGTTTACAGTAGCTTTATTAATAATAGCACCAAACTCGGAGTAACCCAAATTTCTCTCAGCTGGTGAATGGAAAAACAACTGATACATTCATCTAATGGGATACTATTCAACAATAAAAAAGAACAAGTTACTGATATATGCAGCAACATGAATAGATCTCAAAAGCATTATGTTGGCCGGGTGTGGTGGCTCATGCCTGTAATCCTAGCACTCTGGGAGGCCGAGGTGGGAGGATCCCTCGAGGTCAGAGTTCAAGACCAGCCTGAACAAGAGCGAGACCCCGTCTCTACTAAAAATAGAAAGAAATTATCTGGACAACTAAAAATATATATAGAAAAAATTAGCCGGGCATGGTGGCGCATGCCTGTAGTCCCAGCTACTCGGGAGGCTGAGGCAGAAGGATTGCCTGAGCCCAGGAGTTTGAGGTTGCTGTGAGCTAGGCTGACACCACGGCACTCTAGCCCGAGCAACAGAGCGAGACTCTGTCTCCAAAAAAAAAAAAAAAAGCATTATGTTAAGCGAGGCCAGTGCAATTGCTCAAGCCAGTGCTTACATTTACATACCTGCTTCTGGCTTCCAGCCCTGGGGAGGGCATGCTCTGACCAAGCTCTAATTTGGGGCATGTAATCCCCATTGTAACCCATTAACCTAGCCAATGTTTCTGGTCACTGGGGCTGAGCGTGCCAGATGTTTGGCCTGTCTGTGACAATCCCACCTTCAGGAGCAAGGAGCACTTCTGCCTCTGTGCAGTGGGCATTGTGCAGCCTCATGTGGTCCCTGAGGGTATGTTTAGGGGGTCTCTCGTTTCAGTGCTCCTCACATGGGTCAACTGTTCCAGTGTGCGGTGGGCCACCCGGGTTCAAGACGTCTTCACAGCTGGCAAGCTCCTGGCCTTGGCCCTGATCATTATCATGGGAGTTGTACAGATATGCAAAGGTGAGTATCTTGGGAACAGCAGGGCCACACCCAACTTTCCTCCACCCCTTGCATGTACACACCCTGAGATCTCCCAATTCTGGCCTTGAGTGACTTCTCTTCTTCATCTTCCCTTGCTTGACAAAGGGGAAGAGAAACCATTTTCACCAGGGTGGTTGGAAGTAGAGAATGCTTCCCCTAGTCTGCAAAGGTCAATCCTCCCATGCTCAGCTCATGGCTCCAGCACAGCTGGGTAAAGACCCCAGCCCTCTGGAGTCCTGCTGCCCTTTTACCCCAACCCCAGGGAAGCTCCCTGAGTCTTATATAGTGTGTCTTGTCCATGTAAAATGGAGGACAGAGAAGGAGAATTTTATATGCTTCAAAATTACTTATAATCTCTGCAAGAGAGAGCTCTACATTCCCGGGTCCCCTGCCAACATTCCCCACTGGATTTGGTCCTTTCCAAGACTGAGTCTGTATTTGGTTTCCATGGGACCCGTGGCACGAGGCTCTGCCCAGTGTCACTGCCTCATGGAGAAAGTCAGATGACAAACAGGAAGACCTCTCAGAAGCCGTGAAGGCAGTGTGGGGAGCCTGGATTTTTACTCCAGGAAACATGATTAAGTCTCTGCTATATAAAGTGCCTGATTATTTTAATCAGTTGGATTAAGTACCTTCCAGGTTATATTGTTTTCAGGAATTTAGACTTAAGGAAATCACTGTGCTATCTTTTCAAAGACAGTGAGGCCATCCTAATCTGGTTTCAGTTCTTTCTCCTGGTTACTCTAATTTCCTGTCTGAAGCTGGATTACAGGTGAATAAGTAACATATTGTCAGTTACTCTGTATCTCATTACAATCTTAGTTGGCAACCTGTATTGAAGGCCCACTGTGTGCCGGACGCTGTGATGAGAGCTAGGAAGGCAACTTAAAAGCTCTTTGCTAAGGGACCCCTGTTGTCAGGAATCTATACATTGAAAGGAGAGACCAAACACACACCTTAGAAAGAAATAGAAGATATCAACAAAGCAAGCAAAACAACCTTGAACTAATATAGTGTTATGGAAGCTTAAATCTGAGAGTTTCTTGTTCGTGATGCTTTCTTCATGAAAATATACAAACTTAGATATCAGGGAAGGGAGTCAGGAGATTGCCAATGACTTTGATCCTGTGTTTCCAAGGCCTAGTTTACCTGGCCTTTCCTTCCAAGGAACTTTGCCTTTTACAAAAGGAACATCCAGAACTGTGCTTTGAACCTGACTCCCCATTTGGAGCTCCTGGACCTGTATTTCCCCTCCTCTAATAATTGGGTTCACTGGAGACAGGACAAAGAGCTGGTATTTTCACCACAGGAAGGAGGAGGAGACCAGCCAGGGCAGGCCAGGGGCTGCTGGGCCTCTGATGTGTCTCTCTGAGCAGCCTCCTACTGGTTGTGTCCACAGGAGAATACTTCTGGCTGGAGCCAAAGAACGCATTTGAGAATTTCCAAGAACCTGACATCGGCCTCATCGCACTGGCCTTCCTTCAGGGCTCCTTTGCCTATGGAGGCTGGAACTTTCTTAATTACGTGACTGAGGAACTTGTTGACCCCTACAAGTGAGTTGAAATGGCCCAGCTCTTCCCCTCTCCCTGGATGGGCCACAGCACCTGCTGCTGGGAAGAGAAGACAGGTGTCCACTGCCCGCTTCTCCTTCCCCTGCCCCATTCTGACTGTGATCAGGCTGTGCAAAAATAACAGTTCATCTCCCAGGAACTTAAACCATGTGCCATCCACCCTGCCAGGAGGAAATGACTGTCCAGTGACTGATCCAGTGACTGTCCCAGAACAGATTGAAAGCTGAAAACTGTATTGCAATTGCACCACTGCCTTAGAGAATGGCCTGTGCCCTGAGAGGCTTCTGGGCATCTTACCTGTGTCAGGACAGGCCAGTCTTTGTCTCTTGAGGCAGGGAGAAAGGTGTATTATGGAGATTCAAGTCAAGAGGAGATCAGCAAGTATGCAGCATATTTCCAGCCTGAGCTGTTTAATTCCTTTAAATTATTCTGCCCATATGGCACAAAACCCACCTCGCAGGGAGAGGAAACATCACAGGAGGCCGCAGGGTTAGCCTCACGCAGGAAGGTGGAAGGCACTCCCTGGGCCCTGTGGCGAGGTGGGCGTCCCGGGTGCCAGCCCCCCTCACCTCCTCTCCCTCCACAGGAACCTTCCCAGAGCCATCTTCATCTCCATCCCACTGGTCACATTTGTGTATGTCTTTGCCAATGTCGCTTATGTCACTGCAATGTCCCCCCAGGAGCTGCTGGCGTCCAACGCAGTCGCTGTGGTAAGAAATCCAAGTCCTGATCTCGCACCCCAGGAGTGCTGACGTGGACTTGCCTGTGTGGCCCCCACTCACCTTTCCCTGATCCGTGGCCTCGTGGAAGCGGAAACCACCCCAAGTCCTCAGGGCAGAAACCACGTGTCCTCACTGGGCATCTTCGAGTGCCCAGGAGCAAACCAGTGGCTGGGTTGTAGCTAGGACAGCTACAGTGGCAGAACTGAGTCATTGCCACAGAGACTGCACTGTCCAAGGAGCTAAAATATTTACTGTCTGACCCTTTGCAGAAAAAGTTTGCTGGCACCTGATCTAGGGCACTTTACATGTGAGGATGAGGATGGTATACAGGAGACAGGTTCCTCCTCAGAAAGACATGGTCTTGCCAAAACATGCCATTTCTCTCTGCCTCTGTTTCCTCCTCTAGAAAACATGCAGCCCGACTCCTTCCCTTGGCAGGGAAAAGTGGGTGCTGATGAGCGATTTAGAAGTAGGAATGGGTTGTGGTCTTTGGGGAAAGAGATCGCACAGGTCCGAGGGCCTGCGATCCTCTATATCCAAGAAAGACCTGGTAGCTGTGTCACCCCCTCACCTGGTTTCAGGCTGGGCCACCACCCTACCCTGCCAAACCCGTGGCTTCCCGGGTCTTATCTCTGAAGACTGTAAAGAAAAGAGCCCTCCCTTCCCCCCCATCCCCCCACCCCCATAGCCTGTTCTTACGACCAACAGCCTTCCCCAGTAATGTGCTATGAACCTGGCTCAGAGAATACAGAAAAGTTGGTCCCAGCCTCTCATAGTCTTTCAATACATGAAGGCTAATCTCTAGCCTCACAATCTGTTCTTTCTCAGCATAAGTAGGAGCTTGTGCTTATAATTTTATTCCCAATTCATCTGTTTCTGTGAATTTAGAAATTCTTACCCTATGAATTAGAATTCACCCTGGTTTTACAGATGGGAAACTAAGGCTCAAAAATCGTGAACCTTGCTCAAGGTCTGCAGTGCCTAGATGGAGGAGTAGGATTTGACCCCAGATCTGCCCAACTCACAAGCCTGTGCCCCTTTCTTTGCTGCAAAATCATGCGATGTATGTGAGGCCTGGACTCACAGCACCTGGCTTCCAAACCTGGCCTCTCCACTCCCTGGGCGTGTGAGCTTCAGCAGGCTACTTAAACACTATGTGCCTCAGTTTCCTCAGCCATAAAACAAGAATAACAAATATTATTTCATTATTATTATTACCACCACGCACTGTCTCCATCAGTTAATTAGCCCGAGACACGTGTTGATGCCCCTGTGTAGCTGTGACTGTGGGAAGTGGCAGTTCAGGGTTCTCAGGGAACTTAGCTGGAGAGACCTGCAAGGGTGGAGATGGGGAGAAGCTTTCCCAGCCAGGAATTTTGTGCTGGAGGCGGGAAGCTGTCACCTGTCCTTCCCTGCTTATCCCGTTTGTTTTCTCTCCCAGACTTTTGGAGAGAAGCTCCTTGGGGTCATGGCCTGGATCATGCCCATTTCTGTTGCTCTGTCCACATTTGGAGGCGTTAATGGGTCTCTCTTCACCTCCTCCCGGTGAGTGCTGCCTGGGCCCTTCCCGGGCCGGGGGCTGCTCTGCTGTGCACATTGCTCTACATGTATGTGGCGGGCTTGTCTCTGTCAGTGGGGGTCTGTGTGGGCACCTGGATGGTGGGCTTGCACCGGGCAATTGCTCACATGAGGTGTGCATGTCAGTGTGGACACTGACGGGTGTGTGCTGCCCATGTGGTCACCTACGATGTATGTGACACACAGATCCTAGGTGTTTCACAGGTAGTGGCTTACCTCATTTCAAAGTTAGCAGAAGACTGAGAGGGCCCGGGGCCCACCTGAGGCAGTCCCGGTTGGGGGGCGTGGATAGCAGCAGGACAGTATTGTGCCTGTAGTCCTAGAGCCCCCGTCTCCACTCACCTAGAAAGAGGCTCTGCTGGCTAGAAAGGAACCCCACTCTGTTAGGGACCAGGAGGGAGACTTGTACCTGGGGCCTCTGGGTCTGGCCTCCCATGAATGTTCTGGAACCAGACTGCAGATGGACGGGATCACTCTGATGGCCCTGAGGATGCAGGGCTCCTCCCTGCTCAACAGACAGGCAGCGGTGAAGGCCTTCACGTGCCACCCATGGGCCTCGGGTGGAGAATGTGAAGCAAGAGCATGGGGAAGAGTGGAAAGAAAACGTTCCTCCCAAGACCTTTCAGCCGTGACCTCCACCCCAAAACTCTCTGGGAAGCCAGACGCACAAGTGGGCCCAGGAGTCCCAGCTCCTTCCTCTACACATCCAGGGACCCAGCCCTTCCTTTGTGTCCTTTCTTGCTGTCTTTAGAATGGGCTGTTGAGGCTGGCAGATGTTGCATGATTTCCATTTGCGCAGTTCAAGGGGTTCTCCCAGGGTTCTTAGAAAGCCCCCATCCCTCAGGGCGCGGTCCCGCGCAAAAGATGAGTCCCTGTGTTCAGCTGCTTCCAACACCATCCCATCAGGGAGGAGTTCCTGTGAAATGAGAAGGGAGTGCCATGTTTTCAGGACCCAGGACAGGAAAGAGGTGGTGTGGGAATGCCCCGTACCCCAGGACCCCATGACACTCACCCGCAGCAACCTCATGTGCGTGTTACACAGGAGCAGTGGCCACCTGGAGGCCCCAGCCGAGGGCGAGCAGTGGAAGAGCAGTGACCCATGAGGCTCCTGGGGATCTATTGGAGGAGAGCGACTGGCTACAGTTGCTTTAGAGTGGGGTCTGCAGAGGCCAAGCAGCGGTCTGCATGCATGTGGTACAGCTGTGTGTGCATGCAGGAGATGGCGGCGCATGGCGTGCTCGGCCTCTGACTCCAAGGCGAGACCTCGCCCACCCAGGCCTCCCTCGTTCACCTTCCCAGTTCCTTCTTTCCTTCCACCTCCTTCCCTCCTCTCTTTCTCTCGTCTTCTGGGGTATGGAGAGGATAGTTCTTCCCGAGGAGTCTGAGTGTGTGTGGGCGTGTGCTATGCTTAATGTCATCGTCTCCTATGTTGTCGGCTAACTGGGCAAGGATTGTCTCCTGTGAACTTGACACTTGCAAATGCCGTTGGACCTGGGCAGTTACACTTGGTCCTGGCTGCATGTGGAGGAAGGATGTGAATGCCTGGCTATGTGCACGGTGAGGCCCACGGAGCAGCTGGGGCTCAGTCCGGTGCATGAGGCTGCACTGTAAGGGGGCAGGGGCATGGGGGGAGGGGCAAGGATGCGTGTGGCTGCATGAAACCAGTGACACTAGCCTAGGTAGTTCATGATGGTCACTGCTCATGGGTGCTTGGGGCACTGTCAACTCCCACACTTCTGATGAGCTGCTCCACTCTACCCCGTACTCAAATTACAAAGTAAGTGACAATTCTCCTCAGCTCCCAGTGTGCTGGGCCTGTACCTTCTGTCCCCATCACACCATCCCCTTCCTCTCATCCCTTAAGTGCTCCTTTCCCTAGAGAAAAGAACAATGGCCTAATTTGCACTGATATATAAATGACTACTAACAGCTTATGGTATTCTCTTTTTTCTTGGGAGAAGGAAGACGCGCTTTTTATGTTAAAGTTTCTCTTTTTTTATTGATACACAGTAGATGTACATGTTTTCAGGGTACACGTGATATTTTGTTACATTCACATAATGTGTAAAGATCAAATCAGTGTAATTGGGATATCATCACTTTAAACATTTTTCTTTATGCTAGGAACATTCAAATTATTCTCTTAAAATTTCTCTTTTAAAAAATACTTTCAGGTGCAGTGGCTCAAGCCTATAATCCCAGCACTTTGGGAGGCCAAAGTGGGAAGATCCCTTGAGGCCAGGAGTTCGAGACCAGCCTGGGCAACATAGTGAGACCCCCATCTCTACAAAAAATTTTTTTAAATTAGCGAGTATGGTGGCTTGTGCTACTTGGCAAGCTGAGGCAGGAGGATCGCTTGAGCTCAGGAATTCAAGGCTGCAGTGAGCTATGATCGTACCACTGCACTCTAGCCCAGGCAACAGAGCAAGATCCTGTCTCAAAAAAAAGAAAATATACTTTTTTTGTTTTGTTTTGTTTTGAAATTACTCATAATTGTACCACTCAGAGATAATCGGTTGACATTGTAACATATTTTTTACAGCCCCATAAATAATTTTTAATTTAATTGGAATTATAGTTTTCTATCCTGCTTTTTTTATTTAACATTATACTGTGAGCATGTTCTCATGTAATCACTTTTTTCAAAAACATTATTATGATTATAATATTCCATCTTATACCAGATTTAATCAACCTTCTACTTTTAAGCATTTAGGATATTTCCAGTTCTTTCTTATCAGAATATCTTTGTATATATACCTTCCACCAACTCTGTTCATTTCTCTTGGATGGCTTCTTGGGAATAGAATAAGTAGCTTTAAGGATATAAACTTTAAATACAATTTATATAAAATACATGGATGGTAAGTGTTCAGTTTGATGAGGTTTTTTTTTTAGAGACAGGGTCTCACTATGTTGTCCAGACTAGCCTTGAGCTCCTGGAGGCTCAACTGATCCTCCTGCCTCAGCCTCCCACATATTAATAGCTGGGACTATAGGCACACATGCCACTGTGCCTGGCTCCAGTTTGATGAGTTTTGACAATTGTAGACAGCCATGTAACCACCACCCAAAATAAGGTATAGACTCTTTCCACCACCTATTCCCCACCCCCACAAAGGCAGCTACTCTATGACTAGGATAAGAATGTTCTTAAAGCTTTCCATGTATAGTTCAGTCCCAGCGTAGCAGGGAATCTGTATCCCTTGGGGATGGGGAGACATGCGTTTAAAGGTTCGAAGACCTGAGGCAAAAGAGAGAGGCTGCTCCTGTACCTTCCACACACTGGGTGCAGCAGCCTGTGGAGTGACAGTACAATCACCCGTAACCCTGAGCCACCCAGACCACACTCAGGGTTTCCACGCACCCGGGACTCATCCACATATTCACTGGCTGCCTCTGGTTTGCCTGCACCTGCATTTGTGAACACAGGTCCCGTGACTGGTGGTCTAGAAGGTGTGCACGCAAACGTGGGTACCTGGTTGGAGGGAGTGCCCCTGCGTGGGCAGAAGGTAGGCATGGAGGAGAGAGCCTGGGTTTGGTGGTCCATGGGCAACCCCACGCTGACCTGCATTTCTCCCTGCCAGGCTGTTCTTTGCTGGAGCCAGAGAGGGCCACCTTCCCAGAGTGCTGGCCATGATCCACGTGAGGCGCTGCACCCCAATCCCAGCCCTGCTCTTCACAGTAAGGGCCCTTCCTGCTGCCAACCCTACATACATCCTCCCTCTCTTGTGCCTACTCTAAGCTGGGGGTTCACACTTCCCACACATGCCCCTTGCACCCTTCTGGTCTGCTCCTAGGTCTCACTGGGTCTTAGAGAATCTGCCAAATGATAGTCATGAGCTTTAATAATATCATGGGATCCAGCAAGGAAAGAGCCTGAGTCCTGAAACACCTAAGGCCCTCAGCCTGGCTCATTTCCATTCCCCGTCCTTTTGGGTCAGACTGAGCTGACTGCCTCAGGATTCTCCAACCTCACAAAGAAACTTCTCCACCCAGGCTCTCCTCGCACCTGTAACCGCAGGGTTGCGACACTGGGCCTCTGCTCCTGACTAGTCCTGGCAGACACCTGCCTTTCCCCATTTAGTTTTTTGCATCAGGGCACCCAGGCTCTTGGGAAACCTCACTGAAACAAATTCAAGGTTGAGAGTACATTCAATAAGAAAAATCATAAAGACAGGAAGACTGGTAAATTGAAGAGGGAGGAAAGGAAACTTGGGATGGGGAAGAAATGGGGGTCAAATGTGCCCATAGTGGAACCATTTAGAGAGAGCTAAAGGAAGGAACAAAGAATTGTCCTCACTGAGTCTTTTGAGTTATTTCTGTTCTCCTTATATATCTTGAATAAAACATTAGAAATGACTTGTCCAGCAGAGAAGCAGCTAGAGATCAGGATAACAGAGCCCTTGGGAGTCGAGAGCATTGTGCAACACTAGGAGGAATTTCAGAATGTTCAGCTACAGGATGAAGGTCACCTCGATTGGTTAGTTGTGAAAGGTGGCTGGAGAGATGATACGCCCAGTGGGCCACATGCTTTTTTTTTTCAGTTTGAGCTGCCGGCGCAGTACTGTGACTGCAAAATAAGTACAGCAAGAATCAGGCCTATTCACCCAGTAAAATCTTCTCAATTATTCCCACCATCAGACCTCACGGAAGAACTGAACTTTTTATTGGCCTTGACAAATCATCAGAGGGAAAGAATGTGGTTTTGAGAGAGAGCCACAGAGATGATTTTGAAGTTGCAAAGTGGACTCCATCAAGAAAACCTCATGGGGATGTTAAGAGGGTTAAATGAGTTAATATTTGTAGAATGCTAAAAACAGGACCTGGCACATAGTAAGTGCTTTGTAACTGGTTATGAAATTAAGAAAGAGGCCGGGCGCAGTGGCTCACACCTGTGATCCTAGCACTCTGGGAGGTCAAGGCGGGAGGATAGCTTGAGCTCAGGAGTTCGAGACTAGCCTCAGCAAGAGCGAGACCCCGTCTCTACTAAAAATAGAAAAATTAGCCAGGCATGGTGGTGCACACCTGTAGTCCCAGCTACTCGGGAGGGTGAGGCAGGAGGATCACTTGAGCACAGGAGTTTGAGATTGCTGTGAGCTAGGCTGATGCCACAGTACTCTAGCCTGGGCAACAGAGTGAGACTCTGTCTAAAAAAAATATATGAAATTAAGAAAGAGAGGAAAGGAGGGGAAGGAGGCAGAGAGAGGGGAAGGAAAATAAATTAGATTACTCAGCCAGGAGGAAAGGATGAGGGCAAGAATACAGCATTAATCTGCAGTTAACGATCTTCCCTAGGGGATAAAAAATTAGAAATTAGCTTGAGCTATAACCAAGAGAGAAATGTAAATGAGACCAGGGCTGACAGAACCAGGTAACACTAGTGTGGCCAGTTCATGGCCAGATTGGTTAGTGCCCATGCTATACCAGTGGTTAAATATTTTGATTATCACCCCTGCCATAAGAAAGAACTTCCAAGCAATGAAGGTGTTAGTAACAGCCTGGGTTACTAAGAGAGGTTGTCAAGTCTCCATTTTGAGACATAGCGTTGTGCACCTGAAGGCTTGGGAACAGCCCCTGACCTGTACACACTCCTCCAGTCTTCGAATGCCTTTCTGATCACTGACGAGCTCCTCCCCCTTCCCCAGTGCATCTCCACCCTGCTGATGCTGGTCACCAGCGACATGTACACACTCATCAACTACGTGGGCTTCATCAACTACCTCTTCTATGGGGTCACAATTGCTGGACAGATAGTCCTTCGCTGGAAGAAGCCTGATATCCCCCGCCCCATCAAGGTGAGAGAACCTCCCTTAGGGGTCCCCTCTCCTTCCACTATGGCTCTAGCTGCAGGTCATAGTTTTAAATCACCTCTGTTCTTAGCTGCTGGCCACAGACCATCATCTCTATGAAGGTAGCAGATCCTTTGGGAAACAAGGACCAATGTGAATGGGACAGCCATGTCCATTCTCCACGGGGAACAGGACCAGAGCAAATCGCAGCTGGGGAATAAGATTAAATGTCACTTTCATCATGTCATTCCTTTCTTCCCTACCACTCTAGGTCTTAAACTCTAGCTGATTTTTCAAGATTCTCTTATCTTTCTAACACTTCTCCCTGCCCCTCCACATAGCCGGCTTCTCCACGTACTATGTCTCTATTCCAGAATGCGTTTCCTCCTCCTGTCAGCCTATCTAAATTCTAACCATTTTCCAAATAGGCCTCGAGTACCTCCTCTATCTTGAAGCTTTCCAGTTCACTTTTACAGCCCTCCACGATCCTCCCTTTTTAGAGTCCTATGGGCCTACGCATAGTAGGCTGCTCAGAGAACCGAATGATCACTGCAAGAACTAACTTTGTGGTAGGAATAAATGAGATTGCTCAGAACAAGATACGCTAGAGTGTATGGGTTCTATGAATCAGAAGAACAGAGGATAGCCTGGAGCTATTTGAACAATCCTATTCTAGAGACAGAAACTAGATGCTTCTAGAAGATTCTTCTAGCTGAGAAAGGCTCTCAGTTCCTCACTGGCATTTTCACTGCTACTTTTCTCCCACCCTTAGAAAACATGCTAGAGGGCAGAGGAGGTAGAATGACCCCATGTCCCCACTACATGCCTGAGAGGGGAGGACGAGGAGGAGGGTGGCTGAATCAGGGCTGCCCCTGGAGTCCTGAAGAGGATGCTCTTGGGAATATCCCGCATGTGGTCAGCAAGGAGGGAACTGATGCTTCCTTCTGAATGAAAGTGAAAGCCCCAGGCTGCTTTATACTATGAAGTGTTCCCTGATTTCTTGAGTCTTGGCAGATTTTTCTCAGACTGCTTCAGAGAAGCAGTTTGGGGTTGATCTTGGTGTGAGGGATGGACACTCACCACGTCGTGCCCAGGTGAGGCCTGTCTAGAAGTGGGCCAGGAGCAGGGAGTCTGGCTGACCTAGGTCACGTTCTTCCTGCACCTCTCCTCTGCCCTAGGGCCCCAGCAAACATGCAAGGATGTGCGGCAAGCTTCTCAACCCCCATGGGCATCTCTGGCCACCGTAGGCACCTGGCACTGATGACGAGGCCTTGTCTGAGCCCAACCGGGAGGGAAGATGTGGGCAATGAGGATCCTTCCGTCCCTAGTCCCCCCACCCTCTCCTGTCCCACTGCCCAAGTCATCAACATTTGTTGCCATAGCACCTGCCCTATCAGGGCTTGGGGTGTGGGAGCTGCAGAGCTGAGTGAGGCCCAACCTTTGCGCTCAAGAATGCTTCCCTGTGGGGAAGAAGAGAGAGGGTGCCCCGAGCCTGGGGCTGCGGGAACCACACAGCTCACAGTGCCTCTTCTCCACAGATCAACCTGCTGTTCCCCATCATCTACTTGCTGTTCTGGGCCTTCCTGCTGGTCTTCAGCCTGTGGTCGGAGCCAGTGGTGTGCGGCACCGGCCTGGCCATCATGCTGACAGGAGTGCCCGTCTATTTCCTGGGTGTTTACTGGCAGCACAAGCCTAAGTGTTTCAATGACTTCATTGGTGAGTTTTTGGAGGCTTTGGGGTGGCTAGAGGAATGGAGTGGTCAGTGACGGGACAGGCGAGCCACCAGGATCAGGAGGACTAGGCTCACTTTGCCCCGAGTCCACAGAGCTCTGGAGAAGGAGTTGGGCTCAGGAAAGGCAGAAGTCTTCCCAGAGACCTCTGAGGAGTTTCCACGCAGACCTCAGAGCCTCAGGCACAGGCGACCTGTCAGCCCTTCTGCAGGAGCTGCTGCAGGCTGGGTGGAGACCAGCAGAGACTCTGGAATTGGGGTCAGTAAGCATAGGGAAGGTGGAAGGCTGGGCCTGGATGAGCGAGGGGCGGCTGACAGAAGATGCAGGAGGCAGATGAGGTGGCCGTCTCCTGGAGAGGGAGTCTCCAAAAGGCATTGACTGCTGAGGCCATACCTGGGGTGGGAGAGCTGGGAAGGGCCATGGCCTGGTTGGCCAGGCTGATGGGATGCTCAGCACCGACCTGGTTTCTGCATGATCTCCTTCCACAGAGTTGCTAACCCTGGTGAGCCAGAAGATGTGTGTGGTCGTGTACCCCGAGGCAGAGAGGCACTCAGGGACAGAGGGGACAAGTGATGACATGGAGGAGCAGCAGCAGCCCATCTACCAACCCACTGCCACCAAGGACAAGGACTTGGTGGGGCAGCCCCAGCCATGAGGACTGCCATCCCTCAGCAGCTACTCTCCCCTTCATCCCCTTCCTGCCTTCCTTCCCTGCCTGTGTCCCCCCAATACACAGACACACACACACACACACACACACACACACACGCCTCTTTGCTTCTGTCAGGCAGGGTAGGACCTGGGTGTGGGTGGTGAGAAATTATAAACGAAGACACTGACATTTGTACCCAAAGAACCTGCCTCTCACCCCAGTGCTGCCCACACGCAGCTGTTAGAGAGGAACGGAGATGCCAAGGGCAGGGCCCTCCCTGCAGGCCACAGCTCAGCTGCCTCCTCAGGAACCTGAGTTCACAACTGCCTTCCCTCCTACTCCTGAGCCAAGGGAGGTCTCCGTTCAGAGAGCAGCGGCAGCCCCAGTGAGTTGGCTGGGGGGACAGACTCGAGGAAATGTAGCACCAGTGAAGGTTGGCTGGAGAGACCCAAAGCCCTCTCTGTTCACCAGGGGCCCAAAGTCAGGGGGGATGCCGCCCTCTTCCCTCTTCCCCCCAGCTCCCGCCATACCTCCACCCACCCCAGCCCGGACTCCCTGTCAGAGTAAGGCTCCTTGCAGGGCAACACCTCCCCACTGAGCAAGGGACCAAGGAGAAGGAGGGCTGCTCCAACCCCTCCCCTCAAGCCAGGCCTGTGGAATGGATTGAGAAAGGTTCAGATTGCCCAGGCCCAGCCCTGCCCCTGCCTCCTGCCTCCTGCCTCCTGCCCCAATGTGGTGCCAAAGCTTCTGGAAGCCAGAAAGTCTTCTTACTCTTAATGTAGTGGACATCTCTCTCCTAGTGACAAAGCAGCTCAGCAGCTCCCCTCCCACCCTAGGGAAGGAGCAGACCCCCTGTCAGCCCTGCAGCCACACCTCAGCACACTCACCCTGAGCCAGCGCTGCCCCCACCAGACCTCGTCCTCCTCTCTGGACCTTGGCTTGGGGACTGGGTGTGAAGGATCCCCAAGCCCTTCAGGCCTGAAATCCGAGCCAAATCAGCCTTAAATCATGCCCCCATCCAAGAACTGGACCTAAAAATACTCCCTTATTTCTAACTCTCTGAACGACCTGGTATTAAATACCTCCCCTGGGAGGAAGGGCACTTTCCCACCCCCCAGAGGGGCCCATTCCACATCCTCAGAGACTGCTTGGGGAGAGCCTGTTCCCCACCCCTCCCCCAACTCAGATAACCTCCCTCCTCTCCAATCTCACCACTGTCCTGTCTTGGGACAGGATGGGAGGGCAGTGGCAGGATGGGACCCACTCCAGAGACCCTCAGAGAGGCCCCATGTGGTATGCGGCCTTCTAACTGTCCCCTGTGCTCCAGAGGAAGCCTCAGTGTTCGCCCTGGGCCTTGTAGCCTCTCCAGCCACACCTGCTGTGCTAGGACACAGAGCAGGATTCTCTCTGCGCACCCCCTGCATTCCGTCTGCTTAAACTGGGGTACCCAGGAGCCCCTCCTGGCCCAGGTCATGTCCCCCAGCTCCCCGCCCGGCTTGCCTGCCCCATGGATGGTGAGATGCCACGTTTGGTCCGAGTATGGCCCCTTCCATGTAGAGCCAGGCAGGCTGGGATTGGCCCCTGGAGGGTCAGGGGACCATCTTCCTGTTCCTTCCCATTCCTCCAACCTCCTCATCTCCTTCAGTTATTTTTTTGTAAAGTGGATGCCTTACTTTTTGGATAAATATTTTTGAAGATAGTATTTCTATTTCTTTCAGATTTTTAATGTAAGGTTGTTTTGGGGGGTGGACTGAGTTAGAACCTTGATAATAATCTTCTGTCTTTAACTTGGCTTAGGTTTTAGAGTTTCGTTTGTTTCGTGGAGAGTTGTTTTTTTTTTTCTTTTGATGTAATAAAATTTTAAATGGAAATAAACTTTGTGGTGTTGATAATTAAGTCAACTTCTGAGACAAGTATCACCAGGCATTTTGGGTGCCTTCCAGGATGGCATTCCTAAAAGCCGTGCTCTCCGTGACTTCCACTATCCAGGCCTCAGTGCCAGCACATTCAAACAACTGTCTCTCTGAGCCAAAAACACTGTCAAAAGACAAAATTGCAACAAATTTAGTTTAAAGATCCCATTGGCTTTTTTCACAGTTCCAGAACCAGGCAACACCTCATTGCATAAAATAGAATAAGTGTACCCACGAGAGGAGTAGAAGTGGCTGCCTTTATGCAGAAGAGCTAAAGAAAGCAGATAACTTTTCAAAGTTAATTTTTATTGTAAGGGGGGGCTAAGAGACATAGCAATAGAAAAATAACTGATTGGTTAACATCAGGTTACTTTAGGCTACCTTTTTTGTGTGAGGATTAAAACAAAGGGAAGTTCATTATCATGCCGATTGAAGATTTTTAACTGGCATGTTTGGGAAATTGGCTGTTATCTGTGCCTCGAGGTCCGATAGCAACTTAGTTTAGGCTTGGTGACAACTTAGTTTAGGCTTGGTGACGTGGAACTTTAGCATGGGTTACTCCGTCTAGATTTTTGGTCTGATCTGTGGTGGCCTTGTGCAGGAGCTTAGTCCAAAACAATGGCCTCCTATAATTTTTATCTAACAACACTCTCTCATTCCTTCTGTGGAGTCACGAAGTGTTACTAAGTTCCCGCTCTGTGCACCACACTGAGAGCCTGCAAACAGGGAGGAAGAGCTCATTACTACCCAGGTGGGAATGTGGAAGGCAGAGACAGCACCAAGGTGAGTCGGGGGAAGAAAAGCAGACACAGTCCTCCCAGAGCCTCACCAGCAAAGGCTTCTCACACCGAGACAGCCGGGCTGAGCTGGGAAAGACTCAGGGTCCAAGGGGCTCGATGGGAGGGTGTGGGAGGTGGGGCTGAGTTCACTCAGCTGTACGGAGACATGTGGGAGGAAGACTAGCAGGACCACTGGACTAGGACCAGGGAAAAGGAGGAAGCAGGTGAGGTAGGTACTAGCACTTCCCGCTGTTTCAGATTAATTGCTAGAGGAAGTTAATGGGATTAGACCCAGTCATCACTTCCTGTCCCTGCCTTTATGGGCAGCTGTCACAGCGTCCTGTCTGGCATCATTCCAGCGCCAGCACTGCTGACAGACATGTGGAAGGGGGCTGGTTGTTAAGACATCACCCTTGACCATCTGGGATACCGTGAGGACACAGGCAAGCAAGACGTCTCCACTCCCAGTCTTGGCCTGGCCCCAACACATCTGCTTTGTGGCTGTCATTCTTCCAGACAGGCTGGAAGCACCATTCACAGGGGCGAACACTTGGCTGCTAGTTCCAGGCTGGCCAGCAAACAGCTGTGTGTCCTTGGGCACGTCACCTTACCGGTTTAGCATTTTAAAGGGGAAGGGTTGGACCTAACTTCAAACGGTTCCTCAATCTTCCAACTCTAGGATGCCCCAAAAGGGCAGAGGCCAGTCTTGTGCAAGAGGCTATTCTCCAAGCCTCACATCCACCCCCTGGGACCCCTCTTCCCCAACACATACACCTTTCCTTTCCCTGCCTGTCCCAGGTCTCCTCCGTGTTGCCCTGTTAAGGCAAGTCCAGCCCCTATCCCCTCTCACTCCATGGAGACACTTGTCCCCGGGGAACCCCTCTCTCTCTCTGTAAGATGACACCTGCTGATCTTTTCAAACTGGTCAAATGGGCCAATGTGGGGCTCCTCCTGGACAACGTGCATTTATTTTTAACCTGGGTCTTTACCCTGTCTTGGCCCTGTCCGTCACTTTAACGTGAGGAATTTCACATGCTTTGACCTTAGAATCTGGGAACTTTTTAGAAGTCGCAGAAATCATAGCTGCTTATGCATTCGTTTATTAATATAGTCACACAACAAATCTTTTTGTGACCATTGTGTCCAGATATGTTACACAGTGGGAACAGCAAATTTATTCCTGGATTTTCCAAGTCAGCTTCAGACATCAAATATTTTATTCTATGGTCCCCATAAGAATTTTCAGATGTGTCAACCCACCTGTCCTTAATTTTTAATTCAGGAAATATAGTCTCCATAGTTGAAGAGGTCCAAAAGATGTATCTGACCCTACCCTCAAAGAGCAAATAGTTTGGGGGGGAAAGAAGCCAGGAATGCACATGGTGCATGTGTGCACTCCGTGGCATCACTGACCACGCGTCACAGGGGAACCACCTGCCCATGGACCTCCCCAGCTGAGCTGTGAGCTTCCACTGGCAGGGGCTGAACCCAACATGTCCCTAGAGCCTGTGCAGTGCCTGGTAGTAGCTTATGTGCTCAACAATTCTCGTCAAATTGAGGCATCAGGCAACAGGTAGTGCGTCTGTTTAGGAGACACAGATAAAACCACAATGGGGCCTGTGGCTCACGCGTGTAATCCTAGCACTCTGGGAGGCTGAGGCGGGTGGATCGCTCAAGGTCAGGAGTTCGAGACCAGCCTGAGCAAGAGCAAGACCCCGTCTCTACTAAAAATAGAAAGAAATTATCTGGACAACTAAAAATATATATATATATAGAAAAAATTAGCCGGGCATGGTGGCGCATGCCCAGTCCCAGCTACTCGGGAGGCTGAGGCAGAAGGATCGCTTGAGCCCAGGAGTTTGAGGTTGCTGTGAGCTAGGCTGACACCACGGCACTCTAGCCTCGGCAACAGAGCCAGACTCTGTCTCAACAACAACAAAAAAAAAAACCACAATAGGAGGTGAAAGGAACTGAGACCAGTTCCTTTACAGACATTATCTTATTTACAGTTTCATTAAACAACACTGTGAAGGAGGCACTACTATTGCTACTTTACAAGTGAAATTAAGTAACTTGCCCAAGGTCATCAAGCTGGTCAGTACAGGGGCCGGATTTGAGCCCAGTTCTCTCTGACACTTCATGGCCATGCTCTGCTGTCTTCCTGTTGGGAAAGTCTTGGCTCACCGAGGAGGTGGCACTGGAAGGAGACCTGTTACAAAGTCACTAAGATAATACACATGCACTGTTTCAGCTAATCCAAACAGGTAGCAACTGCAGCAGCAAAGGGAAAATGACCCTGCTGCCTGGGGAGGGCTTCTTTCCTCTCCTGAGCAAGAATCTCCCAGCCTTTGACTAGCACTGCCCACCCCCTTCCTGTCCAGAGCCCCCAGACATGCAGAACGCTGCCTGCCTCGGCCAGACCCCTGGTTACTGGGAAGCACTGAAGCCAGCACATGGCGGCAACGTCAGCACCAGCCAGGGAGGAGAGGGCCGGGATCACTTATCTTGCCCGGCCTGAGCTGCTGACTTTCTCATTTCCTGCCGGCTCTATTTGCACACCTCCCGCTTCCTCCAGTGCCCAGTTCACTAGCTAGTGACACAGACTTCCCCTCCCCATGGTGGCCCTTGGTGAAGAAAATTCTCTGAAAGATCTCCAAGTCACACAGCAACCCCTTCCCCACCCCTCAGTCCCAGGGCCATTTCCAGAACCAGCCCAGGGGCCTTTCTTCCAAGGTGAACCAGGCATCCTCAAATGACCTTGGGCAGCTCAGCCTCTCAGCCTTGTTTTCCTTGTTTATAAAGAAGGGATGAAAATACGGTCTGCCTTGCCTATTTTCCTACTTAACTCAGGGAAATGGTCAGCACAAAAAATCGTATGTTTCAACAAGAGAAAAAGCATTAATTTATCAGAAAGCGCAAGGCCTAACCATTGTCATTATTTCAAAGTAGGGGAGGGGACAGAATTTCTCCTGATTGAGACAAGGCCCTGGGCCCAGCACTCCCAGTCTGCCCTTTCTCCCTTTAACTGCTCTGCAAGCCCCCATCCCGGCCACGTTTCCTCTTCCCGCCTGGCGATGCCCACGGTGTCTTGCGCGCTGTGGGACGCTGCCCTCTGCTGTCCACCTGACTCCTGACCACAGCGGCCCCTCGAGTCCAGAAATTTGGACCGATATTGCCACCTGGTGGTCAACAGAGGCATTGCCGCCAAACTGAAGTAGCTCAGCTTTGAAATGGGGAGGAGAAATCTCCCCATCTGGTTCCTGATATCTGTCTCCCGGATGCCCACAGATCTCCTCACACCAGCTCAGGGCTTTCGGAGAAAGCACATCTGGCCATACCTTAAGCCGTGCACAGAAAGCACCTGGGGTAGGTCTGGGGGTAGGGAGGATGGAAAAAGGATACTATTACATTTGCATTTTTTGTTTTAGTGTTCAAGGCCACACATATCCTTTGCATTTACCCCGCTGTGGCCTACTCACAGTGGCCCAGCCCTTGGTGTGCCCAGCTTATAAAAACTGGCCCCACAGGGCACCCATGGCATTTGCTGGTGATAAAAGAGCCAGTAATATATTTCTGTGTGTCCTTTTCTTTTCACTAGACCTACAGCCCCGTTGGGAGATGAAATCCAACAGGTTAAATCCACCACAGGTGCGTCTGACAGGAGGGAGCGGGGAGTTCCCAGAGAAAAGAGAAAAGGGAAGTGGGGGACAGGCCCAAGAGGTGCAGAGAGGGAGGTAGGAGCTTCTCCTAAGAGACCCTACAACAGAGCCCCAGAAAGAGGTGATGACCTAAGGCACTTCTCAAGCCTCACAAGAGGAAGTAGACCCAAGAGACACACATTGGAGGTCAGAGAACAACCATGCAAAAGGAAAGACAGCAAACTGAGCTGCAGCGAGCTCCTGAGCTGCAGCCCAGGGCACAGGAAACGGGAGGCAGAGCCTCAGGCCCAGAGTGGGGGGCAAAGTGCCAGCCTGAGCCTCTTGCAGCAAAGGGCAGCTGGAAAAGAGAGGACTGGAGCCACCGGAGGAGGAAAGCTATCTGTTCCGAGGGCAGCAGCCTGCCTGGGCCTGGGGTGCAGGGCCCAAGTCCTGACCAGGTGCCTCAGCCAGACCCAGGCATTCAGGGAACTGTGCCAGTCTGCTAGAGGTAGCGAGGGCTGGGAACACGTTAGTATTTGGGCTACTGCACAGACCCTGTGCAAAAACCTAGCAAGTGAGCATACTCTGGACCACAATACAGGCCCCCATGTACGGCTTGTTCCTAGAACCTATCACTATGCCCTAAATCCCTCAAACGACATCACCCTGGTCTACACCCAGGAGAATGCTCTGGGAGGTGGGGCTACAGAGGGAACTGACTGTTCCTGGGGGTAGGTGGAGCCCAGCACTGGGGGGACCCAGAGGAAGGCGTGTCAAGGGAGGAGCTCAGACCAAGCTGGGGGTCGGCACTGGAAGAGGGCTTCCTCTGTTCACTCTGACTGGGCACCTCGTTCGGCACAGAATGTTTTGGAAGTCAGAGCGAGGAGGACACTCAGAGTGAGGTGTTGCCCTCATTGAGGATTTGGAATCCCCTGGGCTTAACAGGGAGTGGGGAGGCACTCCCAGAAGCATCAGCTCCTGGGCATCTCCAGAACCCTGGCTTGGACCCTGACCAAAGGATGCCCCCAACTGCTGAATAGGCCAGAGGCCCCCTTTCTCTAAAGCCTGCATCCATCCCTCTGGGGTGCGCCCTGCCCCTCCCTGAGTCACCCCAGGGAGAGAGAGGGGGAAAAAAGGGAAGAGAAGAGAGGCATTTACTACAGAGGAAGGAAAAGGAAGCAGAGCAGAGGAGGGAGGAGAGAGGCCACACAGGAGGAGACAGAGGAGAGTGGAGAGGGCAGGTCTAGGGCAGGCCCAGGGCAGGAGAAGATCTAGAGAGGGCAGGCCGAGGGCAGGCTGAGCACCCCAAGGGGCGCCCCGAGAGCAGGCGGGGCAGGGAGCCGAGGGGGCGGGCCGGCCATGTCCCACGGGACCTACTATGAGTGTGAGTCTCGGGGCGGCCAGCAGCCACTGGAGTTCTCAGGGGGCCAGGCCGGGCCCGGGGAGCTGGGGGACATGTGCGAGCACGAGGCCTCCATCGACCTCTCTGCCTACATCGAGTCTGGCGAGGAGCAGCTCCTCTCCGACCTCTTTGCCATGAAGCCTGCTTCCGAGGCCAGAGGCCTGAAGGGCCCTGGAACCCCTGCCTTCCCCCACTACCTGCCTCCTGATCCACGGCCCTTCGCCTACCCCCCACATACCTTCGGCCCAGACAGGAAGGCGCTGGGGCCTGGCATCTACAGCAGCCCGGGGAGCTACGACCCCAGGGCTGTGGCGGTGAAAGAGGAGCCTCGGGGGCCCGAGGGCAGCCGAAGTGCCAGCCGAGGCAGCTACAATCCCCTGCAGTACCAGGTGGCACACTGTGGGCAGACAGCCATGCACCTGCCCCCGGCCCTGGCAGCACCTGGCCAGCCTCTGCGCGTGCTCAAGGTAAGAGCAGGCCAGTTCTCCTCCCCGCCGCCCAGGGCTGGAGAGAGGCCGCTGTGGGTGGGGGAAGCGTGAGCTCCCCGCTTACGCTGCCAAGTCTGTGTGTGGTGCTGTTCTGTGAAATTGACCCACCCCAAGTCCTCTGTGCTCGCTACCCGACCACGACCCCCTTTCCTTCTCTGCAAATTCACTCCCACCTGGCCCAGCGTGTCCTGGAGCCCCTGTGGCCAGCTGACTGACCTATCTCAGGCCCCACCAGCTTCTCTGCTGCCCACCGTGCCCCCTCCTCTTGTTTCTCTGCCGCCTGCCTCTAGAAGAGGAGATGCCTGCTGACCGTAGAACAGGAGACTCAAGATAGATGAAGGACAGTGTCTGCAGAGTGTGAGAACACGAAATGGAGTTCGGTCTCAAGCGGAGGACTCTGTGCGTCTGGGCCACCATCTAGCACAGAGGCAGGGCAACGACAGTTTGACCTGGGAGACAGGAGCTGGCTCTGAATCCAATTCCTCTGATGCCCCAAGTGTACCCTGGCTGCTGCCATTCCTGCCCCTCCTCCACTCTGCCTCTGGCCGGCCCTCACCTCTCTGTCCCTCTCTGCTTTCCCCTCAGGCCCCTTTGGCCACTGCCACAGCCCCCTGCAGTCCCCTCCTCAAGGCGCCCTCCCCAGCTGGCCCCTTGCACAAGGGCAAGAAGGCAGTGAACAAAGACAGCCTGGAGTACCGGCTGCGGCGGGAGCGCAACAACATCGCAGTGCGCAAGAGCCGCGACAAGGCCAAGAGGCGCATTCTGGAGACGCAGCAGAAGGTGCTGGAGTACATGGCAGAGAACGAGCGCCTCCGCAGCCGCGTGGAGCAGCTCACCCAGGAGCTAGACACCCTCCGCAACCTCTTCCGCCAGATCCCCGAGGCAGCCAACCTCATCAAGGGCGTTGGGGGCTGCAGCTGAGCCTGGCTGGCGGACTGTGGGCACCAGGACCCCTGGCCTGGCATGACCCTCGGGCCCCCCACCCTGCGGGGGCCCTAGAACCCTTCGCAGGCTGAGCCTGAGACATAGACCATGGACGAATGGCGGGGGGTGGCAAGGGAGGGCAGGACCCAGCATAATGATTCTGTGGCTGAATAAAATTGCACTGTGACTCAGTGCTGGGCTGTTCACTGGCCTGGGCCTGGGCCGTGTGTGTGTGTGTGTGTGTGTGTGTGTGTGTGTGTGTCCTTGTGTGTGTGGCATGGAGGACCCCAAGGGCAGGGGAGCATGGAGCTGGCTCTAAAACCTCATTTCCACGCCCAGAGGAGCATGTGGGAATACAGATGTGCTGCCCACAGCCCTTCCCAACACGCCACACAGCCCACTCTGCTCTCCCCCACATCCTCATCACCCCCTTCTGCGAGCTGAAGGCACACTCCCCACCCCCCACAGGGCCTGGAGCAGCCTACGGACACTGTCCCAACAGACACCATGGCTTGCAGGGAGAGCCAGCACCATGCAGTCCCTTGTGCCCAGGCCTGCTCTCTCTCACCTTGAGGAGTAGGTCTGGGAGCTCCTGCCCTGGGTGGCCAAGGGAAAGTTCCTGCCATATTTACGGTCCCCTAGCTCTTGATCCAGCACCTGATCTCTTCTCCCCAATTCCACAGCCTCAGTCTACTAGACAGACAGCCCCACACACACTTCTCCCACCCACGCTCCCATCTTTGTCCCTCATCCCCGGGGGCTCTGGTTTCCTTAAGCTTGAGAATCTGAGTGCTTGGGAGAGGAATCAGTTGGGAAAGACCCAGTGAAACCCCACATTCAAAGCATTTTCTTTTCCGTTGAACTACAGAGGCAGAACAGTACAGTAACTAAAAGCCTTGGTTTGAATCTTCCTCTGAGACTTACTAGCTGTGTGATCTTGAGCCAGTTACTTCTCCTCTCTGTGCCTCAGTTTCCTCATCTGCAAAATGGAAGTAATATTAGTAACCACCTTATAGTGTTGTTATATTCACAGAAAAACAGAGCCTGTCACATGGCAAGTATGAATATTTGTTATGGTTTCATTTTGCTAGATATTGAAAGAGCCTCAGAAATCTCACCTAAACTCTTCATTTGGAGGAAACTGAGGCCTCAGAGAGGGGAAGGGACTTACCCAGAGTCACACAACTATTTGGAGGCATGACCAAAGTTAGGCACAAAAATCACATATCTCAAGGGTTGCTGATGAGACCTCAAGAGATCATCTGGTAGGCTTTGTCCTCAGACAGGCAAGATAGTGGGAGCCACATTTCATAGATAAAGCAGTTGAGGGCCAGAGGGGATAAGAGACATCTTCTGGAGCTCACTCAGTCCTTTTGCCATCTCTCTGTTGCGTGCTGCACCCTCCCCTCAAGGATATACAGCACAAGAGGGCACACGAATCACATTCAGTAAGTAATCATGAGTAGTCCCGCAGTGTCAGAGGCCCGGGGACAGCCTGAGCACCAAGGAATAAGTTTCTGAGAGGGAGAGAGGCTGTGTCTGGATCATCTTGCTCTACCCCCCGTGGTAGAGCACCATGTCTCAGGCACCTGCGTGCACCATGTCACCATGTTTATCTCACCCAGGACCCAGCCCCTTTCCTGCTTTGCCTCTGTGTCTCTCGGGCACTGTCCCTCCTTCCTCCCTGTCCTGGGGCCCCTTCACTGGGGGGACGGATGGGAGCCTTCTGAGTCTGGGGGAGGGGGGAGGTGCCCGAGGCTGTGGGCACCTGGGAGAATCCTTGCACCTTCCTTTCAGCCCAGAGAGATGGGTTGCATAAGGGGGGATTGTACAGAACATGGCAAGTGACTCAACCTACAGATTTCCTCCTCTCATCTCAAGACCACTGCGCTTTGACTTATTCTCAAGGTGCGGGTGATGGGACCTGGGTTGCTTCAGCATCAACCCCAAGCTTCTTTGCCATAGCCCCTCCACCCCGTCAGCCCCTCAGGGCCAAGTCTGGTGGAGCCTTTCCCCACCTCCCCAGTGCGATCCCAGCATGACGTGGTGCAGCTGAGCACAACCCAATCCTTTATGTCACATCATGTCCCAGGGAGATGACGCTTAGCAGGAAGGCACACTCTCAGAAAGAGGCTTCCAACCCTCAGATGGTTTTGGCCAAAGCAATTTATTCAATGAGTATTTGTTGAGCATCTTTTCTGTGAATAAGACACGTTCTCTGCTGATAGGGTAGGAAGAAAAAGTCACTAGGCAATTGTGCTGGACATCTTCTTTGGCCCCTGCAGATGCCTTCTCTGCCCTTATCACCCCACTGGGTCCCATGCGGGTGCCTCCCTACCCTGGGGGTGGGGGTGACACTGGCAGGAGAGGGTGAGAAGAGAGTAGATTCCCCTGCCCTCTCAGCCCCTGGAAGGCGGCAATGGCTCCCCTGCTGGGCTAGCACCCCATAAAGTACCTCCATTAAATTCTCTTGATCACTCCATCTGAATATGCCCACCGGGAAAACCAAATAAACAAACAGGCAGGGAGGCTATTTTAGCTGGGGCGTTCAAGGGCCATCTCTCCGAGAAGTGGCATTTAAGTTGAAACCTGACAAATGTGGAGGAGGCGGACTGTCACTGGGGGAAAGGTGGGCAGAGGGAAGAACAAATGCAAAAGCCCTGGGGTGTCTGTGTGGCTGAGAAGACAGGAAGCCAAGACAGGCTGGATTGGGGGGAAGAGGCAGGAAGATGTGTCCTTCCTTCACTCCAGGACAGTGTTGCAAACGACTCTCTCCATTCCTTCGGCCAGGAGGACAGTGCCTAAGAAGCTAGGGGGTGCAAGGCAGGGTTATCTCTGCCCCTGGAGCCGGCTTCCTACCCCTTGCCCCTCCTCTCACCCAGGGAAGGGCAGTGAGCCAAACCCTGCCTGGAAAAGGCACCCGGACTAGGGCCTCCATGACTTTTGAAACCAGCAAGTCAAGGTCTGAGCAGCACCCACATGCAATCCTTTTGCTTTAGAATCCCCAGCCCAGGCGCACTTTTCCTTCTTGAGCAGAACTGGGGAGCAGGACGGGAGTCCTGCGCTGATACAGGGTCTCAGGCCACAGGGAAGCTGCAGAGGAGAAGCAGGGCTGTGGGGAGCCGCTGTGAAGAGGGAGGAAGCTGCCCAAGGTGAGTCTGCCGAGGTCAGACTTGTGAAAGCCGCCCCCCTGCTCGGTGCACACCTCCCCCCCCCCAGATTGCCACATGCCTGGGCCCCCAGGGCCCCCATCCCAGTGTTGCAAGATCCCGGTTGGGGTTGTGGGGTGGAAAGGGGCCTCTTCACCTCTACCCTACCCTGCCCCGAGCCAGTGAGGGGACGATGGGGTGGAGGGGCTGAATAGGACAGGCTGAGGCGACCATGGCCAGGGCTGGCTGGGGGCTTGTGCACGTCCTCTGGAACAGGCCAGTCCCTTGCCATCACCCTCACCAACCCCCAACACGCAGACCCCTCCTCTCAGGACTCAGCAGGGCTGCTCCAAAGTGGAAGTGGTCTGAGGAGGGCAGGATTCCCAGCTGGCCTCTGTCAGCTGCCCTCATAAGCAGGCCTGGCCTGGCCTCAGAAAGCCTCAATGGCACAGGAGCAATTCTCCCCAAAGGGAGAGCGTGGGGGTTTTCAGAGGAAAATGGCTGCAAATTGACTTCATCAAAATGGCCATCAATTCCAACTCCAGGGAGCAGTGGGAGGGTCCTAGGACCTGGGAAGGGGCAGGTTCCTTAATAGGGAGCAACCCACCCACACGGCTGCATCCTCTCACTTCTCTTCTAGAAAGCAACGGGGCTCTGAGGTAGGCAGAGGCCAGGCGTACATAGAATGGATCCATCCCCCACGCCCAAGCTAAACTTCACCCCGAAGGCCCAAACTGCCCAGCCGCTGTTGTCCCCACACCTAGCACTGTCACTCCCGGCCAGGGCATCCAACCCTGCCGCAATCGGGACGGTTTGCAAAACACCTGCTAGCTCCCGCTTTGTCACCATCTGAGGTTAGGACTGTACCCAGGAGATAAGCTCAGGCCCCACCCACCCGTCCCCAGCAAGACTGCTGGCCTGCTGCAATCGGGACGGTTTGCAAAACCCCTGCTGGCTCCAGCTCTGTCACCATCTGAGGTTAGGGCTGCACCCCAAGATAAAGTCCAGCCCCGCCCACCAGCCCTGCCTTCAGACCTCACAAGCAGCATGACCTCAGGAGACAGAGCGCCTGGAAGACCACTGGGGGCTGGAAGCCTTCCTCAGGTCCAGCACAAAGACCCCTTCTCCCGGGCCCTCCCTAGCCTCGCCTTTTCCCACTGCCCTCATTACTGCCCTCTCTCTGCACTGCCAGCTACTCTCCTCACCTTCTGTCTTCTGTCCTCACCCTTCCATCCCTCACTCCCCTCCTGCCTTCTGACCACACTTGTCCATTTGTTCATTTGCTCAAAAAATATTTATTAAACATCCACTGGAGGCCAGGCACTTTGCTTGTTATAGGACCTACGGGACAAATGAGGACAGTCCCTGCACTTATGGGGCTTAAGATCAGTGAGGGTGACAGACAGACTAATACCACAAACAAACACATAACTCTAAATTGTGGGCAGCGCTATGTGGCCAGAGTGCAGGGGTGACTGGTGGCAGGTATTAGCAAGGGCATCTGAATTCAATGTGAGGGGCAGGAAAGGCTTCTCTGAGGGAGTAACATATAAGCAGATATCTAAAAGGCAAGTAGGAATTCATCTGGCAAAAAGAGGGTGCTTCCAGCAGAGAGAGAAGTATATGCAAATGTCCCTAAGCAGGTCCTTCCTCTTCAGTGACGGAAGCCTGGGCTTGGGGCAGGGCATGAGGGAGAGGCCTGGGGTGAGGAGGGGGGCTGAGAGAAGGGTGGGATTCAGAGCACCAGAGTGAGGACTGACCCTCTGAGGGAAGAGGACATCTCCTGTCTCGTAATAAGAAAGAGAGGAAATGGCTACAGATACAAATAAGAATAGGTCTGCAGCAGGCTGAGGCTGTTCTTGTCTTAGGGCTTTTATTTTCGCTGTGAAAGAAGAGGTGACTGAAAGTCACTGAGCAGGAGGGGGCTGGAGGCTTGAAGGTGTACAATCCTAGTTGCTGAGGGTGGAAGAGGGAACTAATTGCTGAGATTTCTGACTTGGGAGCACCCCACTGAAGTTGATGATGACAATTCTGGAGTGACAACAGTCTATACTCTGGGATGATTTCCTCCAGTGGTCACCAGCTGCTCGGGAGCCAAGGGCAGAGAAGACAAATGTTAGGTCCATCTAGGGTTGGGGCTTAACCAGGGATGTGGGGTGGTCAAGAGGAGTTGAAGGCATGTGCGAAGGTGGGATTGTCATGGTGAACCTGGAACCTAAGGCAGAGAAGGGCAGATGTGAGGACGGGGAGGGCCGGTGGTTCCTCAGTGAGCTTGTAGAACAGCTGCAGCGAGGCGACTTGGGCAAACAAGCCATAAGGAAGGGAGATCCTATCAGAGAGCGGGATGTTTGGTTCAGTTATTTCATAGGTGCTGCAGTTTCTGGTGATGATAAGGCCCGGGTATGCCCCCAGGAGAGGCTTGCTAGAGCGGCACAGGGAAGGATGTTAGCAATGAGACGGTGCAGAGGCTGAGGGGTCAGCCTGCCAGATGGAGTGGCCGCGTGGATGCATGGATGATGTCCCCACCGGGGGTGACATCCTCATCTACATCCTCGCTCCTTCTCCCTAATGTCCTACCTCCACAACTGTTTCTCCGTTTCATCCTTGTCCTCTCAAACACCTGTTCTTTCGTCTACCCCAATTCTCTTTTATCCCTCCACCTGCTCTCCTTATCCCCACTCTCCTCACCCCCATCTTCTCTCCTCATCCTCTTCCTCTCCTCCCAACCTTACTTCCCCTCCACACCAGGCAGTCGAGAAGCGTATTGCACAGTGGGTGACGGCCTGTGCTCAGGAGCCTACCTACAGGGGCTGGAATCCTGCACTGCCATTTACCATCTAGGCATATTGCCTAATTTTGCTGTGCCTCAGTTGTAAAACTGGGACAATAATACTAGTAGTAACCACCTCATAAGGTTGCCGAAAGAATTACATGAGCATAAAGTACTTGGAACCATGTCTGGCCACAAAGGGGTGCTCCCTAAAGTGATGATTATCCTCACGCTCTCTCCTTACCTCCTTGCTCTTTCCTCACGTCCATCTTCTTACCTCCATCGTCCCTCTGCACCTACTTCATACCTCTTCAAAGAGGAACTGGTGACTAAGACTCCCGCTCTGCCTGTGGTCCAGCCGGGAAACCAACACAGAAATAAATGCCAGGATAATGTAGTAAGTGCTACTTCAAAGATGTAAACAAACTGCTATTGGAGAACAAAGGATTCACAAACTAACTCTGCCCGGGGGAGCAAAGAAAAGTCTCAACAGGCAGATAACCTCTGAGTTGGATCTTTAAAGATGAAGGAGAATTTGCAGTGTGAAGGCAGGAAAGATGTATCGCTGCCCACATTGACGTTGGGCCCAGCCCCTGTCCTGGCGGGGTACGCCTACCTCAGTGTGGCCACGAGGCGGCAGCAGAGCACCAGGAGCCGCCGCAGACAGAGGCCACACAGACCTTGACTTCATCACGCAAATCCTAACCAGTACCCTGCCAGCCCCGAAATCTTGGAGAAAAAGACTAGGCTTATCTTAGAGAAAGAACAAGAGTCCCCTAAAGATTTGTACACACGATGATAAAAGGATAGTACTCCTCTGAGTTGAAAGTGTATATATATGTATTCTTCAGCTGGGCACCATCTCTCATGCCTGTAATCCTAGCACTCTGGGACGCCAGGCATGGAGGATCACTTGAGGTCAGGGGTTCAAGATTAGCCTGAGCAAGAGCGAGAACCCGTCTCTAGCCAGGCATGGTGGTGCACACCTGTAGTTCCATCTACTTGGAAGGTTGAGGTTTGATCAGCTTGAGACTGATTGCTTGAGCCCAGGAGTTTGAGGTTGCTGTGAGCTAGGCTGATGCTACAGCACTCTAGCCCAGCAACAGAGCAAGACTCTGTCACAAAAAAAAAAAAAGTATTCTTTACTTGATTTAGTATTTACTATGAGCTGGACACTATTCTCAGTGATTTACAAGTATTGACTTACTGCTCATAACACAACCCTGTAAGTATTAATACAATCATCCCCATTTTACAGATGGGAGCACTGAGGCAGTTGGCCAAAGTTACCTGGACAGAAAGTGGCAAAGTGGGTTTGGCTCCAGAGTTTGGGTGTCTCCCTTGTAATGCGTAGTTCCAGCCATAGTTCTGATATGTGAAAGTATAAAATCAAGCTTCCCTGGGAAGTTAGCAGCTCTTCTCTAAACTCTAGTCCTTGTCTGTCATTAAATGGCTATGTTGCCTTGAGACAGGTCACTTCACCCCTGATCTGTTTCTTCAAAAATTAAATAATGAGAGGCCGGGCACGGTGGCTCACGCCTGTAATCCTAGCACTCTGGGAGGCTGAGGCGGGCGGATTGTTTGAGCTCAGGAGTTCGAAACCAGCCTGAGTAAGAGCGAGACCCCGTCTCTACTAAAAAAAATAGAAAGAAATTAATCGGACAACTAAAAATATATAGAAAAAAATTAGCCAGGCATGGTGGCGCATGCCTGTAGTCCCAGCTACTCGGGAGGCTGAGGCAGAAGGATCGCTTGAACCCAGGAGTTTGAGGTTGCTGTGAGCTAGGATGGTGCCACGGCACGCTAGCACGGGCAACACAGTGAGACTCTGTCTCAAAAAAAAAATTAAATAATGAGGTTAGGTTCTGCACCTTCATCCATACACTGAGCCTAGGCCCTATGGACTGTTCCAAGTGCTGTGGACAAAAAGACCGGCTGTGCCGAGTACTATGGAGTACTATGGAAAACCTCCAAGGAGTTCAGAATGAGAGGGAGAGTCACTAAGCCAGCAACGATAACAGAGCATAACAGTGTTCTGTTAGGAGTTGGAAGGAGAGGCGCCTCCTGTGAAATGGTTCTCCTCCTGCTCTGGCAGGTGTGGAATTTGTGCGGGGGGGTGTTAAGAAAGGCCCCCCAGAGTAATTACAGGAAAGGTAGGAATTAGCCAGGCAGGCAGGGAGGAGGAGTATCCAAGCAGAGGAAACAGGGCATGAAAGCACAGCAGGAGCAAAGAAAACAAGAGTTCCCCAGGAATATCTTTGAACACCTACTGATGTCCACTTTAAGAGTTTATTTTCCCACCCCTGTGGGTCTATAAGCAGCTCCTGTGAAGCCTCACAGACCTAACACAACAGCCTCTCCTAGGACGTGGCAGCCAACTAACACGTATTCGTTGAGCGCCTACTAAGAGCCCTACACAGATGCAGGAGATGCCTACAAGTCTTGCAGTTTGGTTGCAGGAAGCCCAGTTCTGGCCCCGGGGCCAGTGAAGTGCAGAAGCCTTGTTTGCCCATCTCCAGGGAGGCAGGCAGGCATCTAGGAAGCAAAGAACGGCCCCCTCCCCCACCACCCATTATGCTGACACCAATCTTTTATTTTGGGGATGCTTCCAAAGTTTTCTACTCAGAAAGGCAGGGAAAATAGGATGAGGGATGCGAGGGGGTTAGAAGAGGGCTCCACTGCAGATAAGGCAGGCTTCTCCTTGGAAAGGTCAGTTGAGGCCGCAGAATAACACTTCCCCTCCCCCAGCACTCCACCTTTGGCACCCCTGGAAGAGGGTGGCTTTGGCCCCTGTGAGTCATATCCAACTTCCTGGCAGGGAACTGTAGATTTAGTCAACAACATTCAAATCTTGAAAAAATAAGCAACAGTGGTGGAGGGGATATGGAGAGAGACAGTGAAGAGAGGAAAGCCAGAAACAAATGAGCCAGCGAGGAAGGGGACAAGACAGCATCCAGGGCAGGCTCCAGAGAGACACTGAAGATGCTGCTGCTGCTGCTCCTCGGGGTTGCCACACGCAGATGTCTACATGAGGAGACTCAGAAGTCTGTGAGCCTTCTCAGGCCCCCTTTCTCCCAACTGCCCCCAAACTTCCGCTCTTCCTCCCACGCCCTCCCTAGCTCCGGAGAGCCTCAACCCCTGCGCATCCAAACCTGCTATATAGGAAACCCTACATCAGATGGAGCTTGGGATCTTGAGGGAGATGGGATGACAAGGAGGTCCCGTGCCCTGGCCGCAGTGAGAGAGGCCACTCAGCGAATCCAGGGTGTCCTAGCAGGTGAGTGAGGGGACAGGAGGAGTCAGGGAGGGCTGAGGAGTACAGAGGTGTAGGGGAGGAAGACCAAAGCAGAAATGAACTGGAGCTCTCAGGCGCGGAGGAGAAATTGACCTCTCGTCTTGTTAAGTCTCTCCAGTGCAAGGACCCCTGCTTCTGAGTCGAGACCCTGCACAATACTGCCACGCTGTCTGGGGAGACCCAGATACCCCAAACTACCACAGGTGAGTTCATGTCATTGAGCATACACATAATACTTCTTTAGGGATCCCCAGAAATGTCTCCAGCTCTCCAACAGATGTTCATTCTTGGCAGGTGCAGCCTCTTGAACCCAGGGTACAATGGAGAGAGTTGCCTGGGGGCAAAGGTGAGAGCAACTTCTCAGACTTAGGGACCTGAAGATCTCTAGCCTGCCTAGATGTTCCAAGACCACCAGCATCAGAATTACTTAATGTGCTTCTTTACAATGTAGATTCCTGGGCCCCCTCTTCCCCACCCAAAAAACTTATTAAATCAGAGACTGGGGGTGGGGTGGGGGCAGAACTCTGTATTCTAGCCAGCTGTCTGGATGACACTAAGACAGACCCAAGATACTCATTCTCCCTAAATCCTAGTACCCAGATTCCTGCTGTCCCAGCCCAGCTGCTAAGCTAGATGCTATGTTTCACTCTCTGCCAGATTCCTGACGCCCATCTCCGTGGTTATGCCTTGTGGCCGGAGCAGGGTCCCCCACAAGTGGTCCAGCCAGATGGGCCTGGGGTCCAAAACACGGACTTTCTCCTGTATATGCAGGTTGCCCACACTTCCAAGTGCCACCAAGAGGTGAGGTTCAAATCAAATCCCTTTTCCCTGCTTTGCCTCTCTTAATCTTTAATCTCATGAGTAGGGTTAGTTAGGGAGCATAAAAAGTTTTTATTAAGTTGTGCTTATTTGGGATAACTTGGGGCATGCTGATAAAGTTTAGGTAGGGGCTAAAGCCCTCCCAAGCCATTCCTTAATACCATTCCTGCAGAATTCTGCAGAGTCCCCTGGTCCTCCATTTTCAGAAAGATTTCTTTTATCTGTGTTCCCCCTACTTCCCACCCTTACCCTGTCCCGGCCCATCCACAGCCCTCTATCATAGCCTATGCTGCCTGCTGCCAGCTGGACTCGGAAAACAGGCCCCTCGCTGGTACCATTGTCTACTGTGCCCAACATCTCACCAGCCCCAGCCTCAGCCACAGTGACATCGTTATGGTGACTGCTACATGATGAACAGGGAGAAGCACACAGCTTGGGGGTGGGGAGCAGGTCCTTCAGCTTCATGTGAAGTAGAAGAACCTACTGAGGGAGGACTAGAAAGTGCCTCAAGCTCTACAAAGAGCTGACTGGGCAGAGGGGGTATATAGTGGTTAGTCAGTCCTGCTACAGATCCAGCCCCTCTCACTTGGCAGTTGTCTGTCCTCAGGCCACACTGCATGAATTGCTCCATGTCCTGGGTTTTTCTGGACAGCTCTTCAAGAACTGGCGGGACTGCCCCTCAGGACTCAGTGGTAAATGAGAGGGATGAGGGAGAGGACTTTCCGAATGCCAACCAGAGGGAATTCACTGTCTCATTACCTCCTTCCTTCCAGTTTTACCTCACCCTACATTTTCCTCTCCTCATACTGCTTTCTTCCCTTTCTGTGCTCAGTTAGAGAGAACTGCTCCACAAGGCAACAAGTGACAAGGCGAGATAAGTGGGGACAGCTGCTTCTCACCACCCCAGCTGTTAGCCACAGCCTGGCCAAACACTTGGGGGTACTAGGGGTTTCACTGGGCGTTCCTTTGGAAGAAGAGGTGAGAATGAGAATGCTTTGGGGTGACAGAAGAAAGAGGGAGTAGGTAGGTAGCAACCAGCTATCTGCCATCTCCTTCAGTAGGGCCCTTTGTCCTCACACTGGGAGGCCAGACTACTCCAGGGCTCTCTAATGATTGCTACCTTTGATGGTGCCCAGCGCACTCGACTTGACTCAATCACTCTTGCTGCCTTCAAAGACTCAGGATGGTACCAGGTCAACCACAGTGCTGCAGAGGAGCTGCTGTGGGGCCAGGGTAAGAAATCAAGGGGAACCACAGAGGGGCACTCGTCACCCAAGTCAGCTCTAGGGGAAGTGGGAGAGGTTGGAAGGGATTATCTGCTAAGGTATAACTGAAGCTGTAAGCATAGCCAGTGCTGAGGGATGTTTGGGGCTTCATGCGTTGAGGACTCTTTCCCTCTCTTCCTACCTGTCAAGCAGGATCTGGCCTGGAATTTGGCCTGGTGACCACATGTGGGACTGGCTCCTTAGACTTCTTCTGCACTGGCAGGTGTGTGCGCTGAGTAGGTAGGGGACTGTACAGCTGTCAGTGATCCTAGTGTTACTCTATCATCCCTCGCACACAGTGGGCTGGGCTGTCACTACCTGCACCTGGACAAGGGAAGCTGCTCCTCAGACCCCATGCTGGAAGGCTGCCGCATGTACAAGCCCTTAGCCAACGGAGTGAGTAGACTAGAAAGCATAGAATGAAACTGAGTGGGCCTGGAAGGGAGTCAACTTCTAAGGCATCTGGACAAACACTATTCTACCTCCTGCTCTGCCCTTCAGAGTGAATGCTGGAAGAAGGAAAACGGATTCCCAGCTGGTGTGGTGAATCCCCATGGGGAGATCTACCATTCCCAGAGTCGCTGCTTCCTTGCCAACCTCACTTCACAACTGCTCCCTGCAGATGAGACCAGGTACCCTTCTCAGATCCCACACCCCAAGGAGCTCACTGGCCGCTGCTACTTGCATCAATGCACGGAGAGGGGTGCATACAAGGTGCAGGTGGAGGGATCACCTTGGGTGCCATGCCTTCCAGGAAAGGCTATTCAGGTGAGTACCCTAAGAGGAATAGTTGTGTCACAGTGGCAAAAAGAAATTGGCCCGCTTGTACTTTCCAACCTGTTTTGATGGTCATTTTTATGAAGTACCCACTGAGTCCCTAACTCTGATCTAGAATGTACATTTTCCTTAAAAGGAATGCTTGGGCAGATAATTGAGGCACAACTACATCCTGCTACGTATTTCCTTACAGATACCTGGGTACTACGGTCTTCTCCTTTGTCCCTGGGGTCGCCTGTGTCGGACTAATGAAGGTACCAATGCTGTTACTTCCCCTCCTGTGAGTCTTTCAACCCAAGACCTGCTATTCCAGCTGTCCTTAGGTTTAGCTGGACCTCCAGGCCACTCTTTGGGGAAGGAACAACAAGAAGAGCTGGCTGAAGTAGTACTGCAGGCTCTGGTGAGCAGAGGTGGCAGTGGCAGGTAAAGGGACAGTTCAAGCTATTTATACAATGGGCCAGGGAAAATGCTTAGGTCCTTTACTTCATAACTTTCATCTGAAGACTTTCTATTTATCTCTCTCCCAAACCTGCACCTGTTTCATGAGATATACTCTTCCAGGGATTATACCTCCATTAAGAGATCCAAATGTCCATTCAGGTGCTATTTCCACAGCCCATCAATTACTACTAGTTTGGTGTTCACCGTGCATATGTGGAAGTCCCCTGGCTGCCAAGGGCCTTCAGTTTCTATGCTGCACAGGGCCCTGACCCTGACTCTCCAGGAGAAACCCCTAGAAGTATATCATGGAGGAGCCAGCTTTACCACAAAAGATAACCAGTAAGATAATATTCCAAGTAGTTTTCTTTCAAACCCACAGAGTACAGATGTTTGAAATTGCATTTATTAAGCACTAACTCATGTGTATATTGTCTTCTGAAATACATAAGCCTGTATAGGACATAGATCCCCGACTAACATGATCACCTCGGGCCCACCATTACGTGCCTCCCTCCTCCATACAATAATGGAGTTTCCCCATTTCTAGGACATAGGGATCCTAGACCCCTTCCTTTCTTAAGGACTACCCAGGGTCTGTGTGTAGCTACCTAAACACCATAGTCTGACTCTTCCCTTAAGCCACTTCCCTAACTGGCAAATTAAGTCTTCTTCCAACAGTTTAAGATGCTAGAAGACTTGGATCTTGGTCTTATACCTACTTGGATGTTCTATAACAACTCATAATGATTTCCTGTTTAGCTTAATGCTTGCATGAAGCAAGGCTTCATGAGTTCTATGCATAAAGGTAAAGCCCTTGATTTCCTAAGTCTACAGTATTATTCCAGGTCAAATATTACCTCCTATGTTCCTAGGTTGCTGGTTACCTCAGACTATAATCCCTTCATGACTCATCTAAGTCTGACCACGGGACTCTGCCTAATGCTGCTAATCCTGGTGGGTGCACTGGGAACCATAGCCTATCAGAAACGAGCCACTCTTCAGGTGGGACCATCTGCCCCTTACCATTTACCAGAGCTCAACACAACAAGGGGTCCAGATGGAGGAATAAGGGAGGTGTGATGTTACTTTCTCCTGAATGCCTCTTTTCATGATATCAACTTTATACTAGCCTTGCAATGAAAAAAGGTGGAATCTTATGGTTCTGAAGATCCATTCTCTATTTTTGTACAAAAAATAAACCATTCTATCTGTAGAGTGTCACTCGTTTTGACATTGTTGTAGAGTAAACTTAGCACCTGCTGCCGGCTCCAAGGATATCACATATGCCTTAGAAAAAAGTCATTGCTATTTGGATTCAAACACAGTGTGGAAGAAGGAGTAACTAATTATCTTCCTCTCTTGATTTTACATCATTTTACTAAATCAACACTGAGAAAGCTAGTGGTTGGGATGTCACCTAATTATGCTAGAGTCTTATAAGCACGGAAAACCAGCCATCTGAATCCAGCTAAACAGTAAAAATATGACCTTTTATTGTCTTTCTCTCCTGTTTCTGGGGAAGAAGGGCTCTACTTTATACACCTCATGGGCCAGCAGTAGGCTTGAGTTATAATGTGTAGGTTCCTTTTGGTACAGTTGCAAAAGAAGTCATCAAATTCTTGAGGGTTTGACATCTCTTGGAAAAAAGCAAACTAGAAGACAGATGATCTGGATTTGCTTAGATGGACAACATTTACAGTAGGAGTCCAGCTGACATGGTGTTAATGTTGAAATAACCATGCCTGGGCTAGTCAGCAAGTTCAGCCAGCTGATCAGAATACCATCCCCAGACTTTTAGGTGACATACTTGAATAGAGTTCTCACTGTAGAGTCATGGCCTCGGCTCCATGAGCTGTGGTTATCTTCTTTGATCTGAATGTCTATCAGTCCTTACCAGCTGTAGCAGCCACTGCTTGGTAAAACTTTGCCACGAAGTCTGGCTCACTGATCTCCAGCTGCCTGACAAATTCATTGCGCTCCTGCTCAGCCCAACCTCGAAACCACTGATCCCAAAGACGTAGCTGGCATTCAAAGATAGAAGGTGGTCGGTTTGCCCCAGACACACTAAGCTGCTCCAAACCATCCAGTAGTGGCTGTAATTTTCCTGGAACTGCCTTAGCTACCAGGTCCTGCAGGAAACGTTCACGCTGGGGACCTGACCAACCGGCAAACCAGTGAAGAATACACTTCATCTCCTGGGAAGTGATGTAAGACATTGGGGGAAGGGAAGAGTGAGTAATATTGTCTGGTACTGAGGGTAAGAGAGAAGGGAAGGATAGTGGCATCGAAGAGGAAGATGATTCCAGTGGCATCCTGAAACATAAAGGCATTGTTATACACTCTCTAGATGCGCAACCAAAATATAATTTCTCAGCAACAAGCAATCTCTACCAGCATCTACAGAGAAAATTACTTTTCACCAATTCAGTTTACAGGAAAATAATAGGGTCCTTTAGATCTGTGGTCCCCAAGCCCTGCTGTTTTAGATTATTAACCAACTACCTTAGAAAAGTCACCTAAGAATGACTTCATTTCATATTTGCCAGCCTTCCTCTTTCTTTCTCAAACGCATTACTCTCCCCAACCACTGCCTCCTTCCATCTTTCTTATAAAGAACCTAAAAATAATCAACATATTTCTTGTTCATTCTCTCCCTCCTCATTCTATGTTCTCAGTTGGGTAAAGAAAAAAAGCAACGATTAATGCTGGCCCATCACGTCTTATCTAACATGAAAAAGTACACTTTTTTTTTTTTTAATTTCAGCATATTATGGGGGTACAGATGTTTAGGTTACATATGTTGCCCTTGCCCCCTCTTCCCCGAAAAAGTACACTTTTTAAAATCTAGTACATACAGTTGGTCAGGGCCTAGATACTAACTGTTTGGAGCTACCAACAGCAGGAGAAAAAAAGAGAAGAAAAAACATCACATGATGAAAGAGCCTTCTTTGCATGTGCATGTAGCCTCTGAAATATGCGCCAAGAACTTCATAACATCCGCTACCTCCTAATATTTCCTGTAAAGTACTAGGAAAAATCAAAGAGCAGAGTATGTGAGGACTTTACCCAAAATAAGGTAACACAGTAAGAAAAACAGAAGCTTGGTGTTTATTCAAGACTCTGAAAAAACAGTGCAGTAGTTTGTTGGTTTAGGGATCTAACAAGCGTTATATTATTGTATGATAATTCATGTCTTTCAATAATTTTCCTTAATGTTTAATATGATACCTATTGGTGTCCTGCAATTGATTTTGCAGCATGAATGCAACTGAAAGGACAGCCAATTTGACTTTAATAGTTTTCAGTCCCGGAGTTTGAATCTCTAACAATGAAAACCATAAACTATTTGTCTGTGACCTATTTTACTGTTTATGTTTCTTCTGCTCCAGGCTCGAGGATTTGCAGTGATAAAGAAAGCAGGCCCTGGCCGGGCGCGGTGGCTCACGCCTGTAATCCTAGCACTCTGGGAGGCCGAGGCGGGTGGATTGTTTGAGCTCAGGAGTTCGAAACCAGCCTGAGCAAGAGCGAGACCCCGTCTCTACTAAAAATAGAAAGAAATTAATCGGACAACTAAAAATATATAGAAAAAATTAGCCGGGCATGGTGGCGCATGCCTGTAGTCCCAGCTACTCGGGAGGCTGAGGCAGAAGGATCGCTTGAGCCCAGGAGTCTGAGGTTGCTGTGAGCTAGGGTGACGCCACGGCACTCTAGCCCAGGCAACAGAGTGAGACTCTGTCTCAAAAAAAAAGAAAGAAAAGAAAAAAGAAAGCAGGCCCTAAAAAACTAACATTAGTTCACGTACCAAAACAAGTCAGGGTGCTTGCCTTTTTCAATTCTTGCGCTACAATAACCAGATCCTCCTAAAAGAACTTTATTCTCTTATTCGGAGAATGAGAGAACTTTTCCAAAGTCTTGCCACATGGCTTCCAAGGCAAACTCAAATTCAGTGTCATGAAATCAGTTCACAGTCTGGGTCCAAAGATACGGTGCTGCCTGTTGCCCACATTGGAGGCCACGGAGCCTGTTATTCCGGTGCCCCAAAAGAGCAACGAAGCCTTAGATGGGAGTGGTGGGATTCCGAAGACTGGGGGAAGCAGCTGTTTCCGTAAAGGAGTGGGAGGCTTGCCCTAGTAGGGTAACCCCAAACATTGAGTCTGACCTGGCCCAAGGAGGGACTTCTACCCAGCTTACCTCCCTTTCCTCTCAGAGGGCACCCGGAGATCGTCACAAGAGTCCTTAGACTTCAACGACCGCCGCCACTTCCATGTTTCCTGAAAACCCAAAGCGGGGCCAGCCGGACATCCCACGCACTTCCGGTCTCGGACCAGCCCCAAACACCCAGACGCCCCAGCGCCTCAGCTCTACGTCCGGAGATAGCCGAATATATCCGATTATGGTTATGCCAGAGTCGAGGGCTTCCGAATAGATTCGACTCAAAGCCTCGGCAAGTCGAAGATAACCGAGCCTGAAAGCAGGGCGAGGGAGGGGTGGGAGAGTCCAGGCGGATGGAAAGAATTGATTGGTGCCGATGTCGAGACGGAAACACCCGAGCAGTTCCGGAGGAACCCGGGGTGTTCTGAGTGGTAATCGAGGGGTAGACTATGGCAGTGGGCGGGGTCAGCTCGGTACGTTCGAAGGGCGTTGGCGGAAATTACCGAAGATGCCCGAAGCCGTCGGGACGGACCCGAGTACCTCACGCAAGATGGCGGAGCTGGAGGAGGTGACTCTGGACGGGAAGCCTCTTCAGGCGCTGCGGGTGACCGACCTGAAGGCCGCACTGGAGCAGCGAGGCCTAGCCAAGAGCGGGCAGAAGAGTGCTCTGGTCAAGCGGCTCAAAGGGGTGAGGAGTCGGCGTTGCCGGGGTGTCGGAGGGGAGCGGACCCGGTAGAGACGAGTCTCTGCCGCGGCGCAGGCGCAGTGTCCGGGCTCGGCGCGAGCTCGCTCAGGCCGCCAGCGCGAGCCTCTGGATCCGCGCGCACGGTGGTTGGCGAGGCTCGCGCTGGAATAGAGATCGCGCCGGTTCCCGCCTTAACGGCAGCAGCGCGAGCCCAAAATGGGAGGGTGCGCGCTACTCTCCTGGAGTGTCCTAAGCTCCTTCCTCCTTCCCCCACCCCCTCCTTGTTTGTGTCTGTGGTTTCGGCGCATGCGCTGCAGAAGGAGTTAAATCCCACTACAACCACCGGCGTTGCTGGCCTGAGGGGGGCGAATTGGGCTGGGTCGGAGTTAGGGGTATAGTTGGGCGGAGGGGTGGATGGGGCTGGTATCCGTATCCGCGAAAATAGAATTGGGGTGGGGTAAAATGTCCGTCCGCTTGATTAGATTAGGAGGTGAGATGAAGAGAAACCTTTATAGAAGGGACTTGGTGAGAGAGGTGTTTGATTTATATGGCATCCAGAAGCAATTTGGGTGTATAAGAGTTT